GGCCAATTCATATATGCCCCTGCCTCCGATCAGGAGAGGGCCATGATGCCGATGACTGTTGGCTCTCAAGTCGAAGCCGAGCGCATACTAGCCGAGATAAGGATCGCGAACGAGATTTGCGGCGACAATAAGGACTCCGACGAATATGCTCTCTGGGAGAAGTCCACAGACGAAGACGTTCTCTTCTTTCACTACGTCATCCCTCCTCAATGCCGCAACGCCCCTGCCGTCAAGTCGGCCTCAAGGCTCTTCGACAACATCCCGGATGGCAAACTTGTACGTCCCAACAAACCCGAGCCGCAGGTTCTCCGCCTCGGCGCAAAGAAGGACGACGATGACGGACGGTGGAAGATGGATAGGCTGCGCACCGCCGCTGCGAATTACAACAGGAAACTCATGGAGGAGAAGCTCAGCGAGATGATTGCACCCTCCATTAAGAATGCGGTCAAGACGCTGTGTCAGAATGTTCCCTCCGTGAAGGAGTTCATCGAGATGGGTGTCCGCACCAGGGCCGGCCCCATTATCCCTATGAAGAATGACTCCAAAACCTTCATTCAAGCTCTCGTCCCATGTCCGAGCGAATTGCTCAACTACTTCTCCCAAGAGATGCGCGACGCCGTTACGGCTGTCAGCGACGTACGGAGGACATGTGCCGAGATCCGCGACATCATGAAGGGCAAGGCCAAACAGCCGGGGAAAACCGGTGCTGTACCTGACCCGGAGCTAGAGAAAGCACTCGCGGGTGGCCAGGGCAATGTGATGGCAATTCGCCATCTCACCAAGCTCCTCTATCACTTCTTCGGCACCAGTCTTGAGCAAGATGAGCACATGACACGCATCATTTTGGCCGCCTTCATGAAGGAGGGAGTCGGCTTCTTCGAAGTCATCATCACCGTCCTCCGCAACGAAGCCCAGGAATACATTCCTGGTTCTGCGCGCATCGCCGCCCTGAGGTCGTTGGAGATTGGTGCTGACTCTGACTATCAATCCTTCCGCGAGCGGTATCAATTCACGTTGTATGACAGTCCTGTATGTCTTCCCATCAGCGCTAAGCTGGTGCCCAAGACCCTGTACATGGTGATTCCCCTACATGACTACCGGTTCTTTATGGAGCGCGGGGCGATTCTGCGACGCGGCCGGGCACTCATTGAGATGCTGCCCTCCCGTCCGGACGAGTACCTATCCATGCGCAATCACGGTGAATGCCCCGCGGGCTTCTTTGACAAGGAAATTCCCCTTGACGTGACGGACATTATCACCTCTGGTCGCCGTCAGCGCTCCGATCCACGGTATACAGTCGTGTCGATCGATGCGAGGCATTTTGCGCTCGAGAACGGCGACATGCATGTCACTAGGCAAGGTACATTCGCGTCACGCGAGAACATCGCCATCGGATATTGGCGTGCAGTTTACATGAAGGATGATCTCGCCATCGTGTACCTCCGACCATGGACGTACAGCCCGGCTTTCGTCGGCACTTTGCCTGAAAACTCACGTGCATGCTTCCAGGAAATGAAGTCCGATCCGAACGCCACAAAGATCGAGCGCGTCCGCTCGGTTAACTCGGCACCATGCCATCGATGCATGGCGCAGAACCCGGTGGGTGCCCACCTGTGCGTCTCATGCTATCTGCCCATCTTCTGTGAGCGGGTCCTGCCACGTGGAGTCGGCTCGGGACGTCTGGAAGGGGTCATTCCCCGTTGGGTAGGCAGGTACATCAGAGCTGAACCCCTTCTCTGGACCGATGACGACGCCAAATCCATCGGACCTGCATTGTACTCCCAATCTCCCGCCATTGAGGCGATGTCGATGCTGGTTAACGGAATGCGCCCCCCCAAGCACCTTGACAAGGCTGACCCCCTGTTGGTGATCAAGAAACTCCGCGAGAACATCGCTGAGGAGGTGGACCACGCGAAGTACCGGTTCACCGTTGACCAATCCATGGAGGATTGGGTCGCAAAGTGTGTTCTCGGGCGCGGTGTGGCATTCAATGGCAGTACCGTGAGCGACTTTCTTGAGCAGCACGAGGGGTACGCCCCCGAGTGGGGTCGCCGCTTGACAACTGCCAACTTCAACCCTGTCAAAAGCGGGCTCTACACGTCCTACTACACCACTGAAGCACACCTCGCCGGTTTGCGGACGGGACACCTGTCTCCCATCCTTCCGGCTGATGTTACGGGCAAGGATTTCAAGGATCAAGTGCATCGCCTTGCCGAACATGTTGGGGTCAACCAAGCCATCATGAGAAGTGAGGGCTTTGATCCGGCCGTCCGCCTGCGAAGGGCCATGGACAGGCTCCAGGAGAGGATCGATCGTGGCGAGGCCATCGACCTCGGTGATGAGCTGGCGATGGATGAATACGTGTACACCACCGATCGAGCGGCGTACGATGTCGACCTCTCCGAGCGTCCTCCCACCCTCGATGATGTCACGCGGCTCAACCTCCCATCTCCTCCTCCCAAGAGGCATCGCCCGCGTCACCGGGCTCCTCAGAGATTCCGCCGTGCAGGTGTGAGGCTGATCGCCGCTGAGGACGTCGAGAAGGGTCCCTACGGGGCCGCCCAAGGAAGCCACAGCACTGGAAAGGAAGGGCTACTCCGTTCTGATGAAGAAGAGGAGGATTCGGCCTCGGAGCACGATGATGGGCAAGACACAATGGGCGACGAAGGGGATGAATCAATGGCTGAGAAGGAGGAGGATGAAGTTCCACTACCCCCGCCGCCTGGGCCACCTGATTCACTACCTACACCTTCGGCCGGAGATGCATTTCGCGGATATCTGAGTGGTGACGTGCAGCCACCCATTCCTCCCCTGCCACCGTCACACAGTGCACCTATCACTCCTAAGGGCGCGGAGGCACCACCTCCACCGCCACCACCGCCACCTCCGATCCCAGGTCCTGCTATCCCTCGACCAAACATCACCCCCGCCGTTCAGGCTGAGGTTGATCCATTCGCCGAGCCGGATGACCGTGCAGTTCACACCAAAGTTCCTGGCACGGAGTCCGAGCGCGAAGACGAGGACGATAAGCCAAAGGCGAGGCGTACCGAACATGGGCGGGTCCCCGCACCTGAATCTGGCTGGGACGCAATGCGCATCCCGTCAGAGGGTCAGCCGTCCTCGAAATCGAAGGCGGCACCCAAGCCTGGAGACGACGCCACTGCAAGGGACACAGGCACTGCTGGCCAGGGCGTCAGTCGCCCTCGGCGATTCTTCGAGCAGAAGGATCCTTTCTCTGGAGTGCCTGCTGTGACCAAGCAGCGCTCGGCTGGGCACGCTCGGCCAGCCAGGGAGCCCTCCCCGCCCCCGGCAGCAATGTCCACTGAGGCAGCAAGCCGGCCTCCGCGGATGCCGGACGACGATGACGAATGGGAACTTCCCCCAGGTGTTCCGTCCATGACGCAACGCGGTGACGGCCGTGGTGCTGAAGATCGGTCTAGGACGGCGCATGGCGCCCGGCACGAACATGGAGACCGTCATGAACATCGTGATCCATCCCCTGAGCGCGAAGCCCGCCGTGGAGGCAAGGGCCAAGGTAGGCGCGGAAAGGGTAAGGATCGAGGTCCCAGACCCGATGATCGGCGTCGACATGATGATCGGCCTGACGAGCGCGGAGGCGCCGGCACCACTGACCGGGGCCGCGGCCATGAAGGTACGCGCCATCAACCTCCACGGGACGTTCGTGACCGTCGAAGAGGCGGCGATCGAGATGACCAACGGGATCGTGCAGGTCCTGTTGGCGCTCCCCGTGATCGCCCTCGCGAGCAGCGTGATCGTCGACCTGATGATCGCCGAATGCAGTCGGGTCCTCCCGAATCGCGAGCCCCGGACCGACGTGATCGACGACACGATGACCCACCTCGTGATAGGCGGCCGTACAGGCCAGCCAGTCACGGCCATTAGCCGGCCTACATTTCTCGCGCTCACCCATTCAGGGTTGGAGCTGCTCATCACGTAGAGGTCCGCTGACGTGGCGTGGCGATTTACCTTTTCAAGCACCGCCGCCGCCGTGATGTACTGCTTCCTCCTGTACCGCTGATGCATGGCCTTCTTGTCCCTTCTGGACCGCTGCTGTGCGCGCCGGTGGTACTCTTCTTGAAGCTCTTCGGTGAGGCCCTGCTCGCACATGCAGTGCTGAGCTGGCCGTAGTCCCTGTCTCATCTCTTTTCGTTTCACGTACTAACTTCCAAGTTTCAACGTTAACACCAACACTTCTTCTTGGTCAAGCCCATGGGAGGCACGGTGACCCGGACAGGGTCCCTCTCCCCATTCGGCCTACGTCCCACACGTGAATGGCAGAAGAGGGATCAATGCTTGGTTCCTTTCACTCGTTACTGTACGGTCATGTGGCCCACTCGACAGAAAATCCCGGTGCCCCGTTAATTCGGGGTGGTGGTGGGATTTTAAGTGGGGCACGGGTGATGCCGTTTAGGCGCACCGCTGTCCGTGCTTTGGCGTTTGTTTGGTATCATTCATCGTGAACTCAACTGTTCATGCATCCTCTCTCTTGTACAGTTGTCGGATGAGGGGGGTGTGTTTTGTTCACGTGTACTTTTATCACAGTCATGCGCAAATCGCGCTGGCTCAAGGCTCAAGATTTAATCCTCCTGACAGGATCTCGTGAACTCGCGTGCAGGCGCCATAAAGCGGCAGCGGCCTTTGTCCTTGGAACTTGGTTTCGGGGCCACTTGCTTCTGGCTTTAGGAGGTACCTGGTTGGTTGGCACGGGCTCCTGAGCTTGGGTTTGATCTTCTTGCTCTACAACTGGTTTTCCAACTACCCCATACTGATCTTTTCCTTCAACTGTCACACCCTCAACCTGGCTACCAACCCAGCTACACTGAGTTGTGTTTCCGGGTGCTTTGACCCCTTCGTGGATTTCGTCGTGGTCATTTGCTTCCCTGGGCTATATCATATTCGCCCAAAACCGCATGTATGAAAGGGGCAAGCCCAGCAAAAAGACTGGCAACATTTTAGTACCCGACGGCTACCACTTCGAGGATACGGCCGCTCACCTCCAACCCCATCTGGCGCCTGCGGCGCGGCGCCGCGCCCATCGAGCTGCAGCGGCACAGCTCGGAGGATCTCGTCTCAGGAGCCGGCGGGTCGTGGATGGGAGCAGGGGTGGCGTTTCGGGGGCTTTTCGGGCGCTACTAGGAAGTCAAGCCAAACCTTCGGTTCTAAGAACGCGAAACCAGGAAATTCGTGCTTTGGAAGCAACACAAATCCAGCGAAACCCAGAGAAGCCTTGTTTTTGAAGGGTGTTTGACAAAAAACCCACGTAGAATTGTTTGTAGCTGGTTTCTATGATCAATAGCTCAGCTGTCCAGAATCGAGGCCGTTTGTTGCAAGCATGGAGGGAGATGGTAGTAGTGGTTTCCCTTTCCAAAACCGACCTTTAAATTAGCGTGTGTTTGTTCCCCTGTTTGGTCGGTTTTGGGTCGAGGGTCAAAACAGTTAACCCTTTTGTTTTCATAACAAACTCTTGTATTCTCAGTGGGGAACCGGCACCAGCTCCCTAAATGTCCGTTTCTTGAATTTAAGCATCGCCTTGGGGAAAGTATACAGGACCCTGTTTCTCCGAAGTACAGGTTCACCGTGTTTAAACCATGGGGGTGCTTCGCGCAAGCACTTGAAAATTTGTAATCGTGTCGCGAAGCAAGTCGCGGGGCAAGTCTAACCCCTACATGTTTGCTGACTTCCCCGCAAGAAGCCACAAGGGGATGGATAGAAGCCACAAGGGGATGTGACACCAAAGTAAGTATCCAAGATAAAATTTATACTACCATCCTTAGCCCCGACCGTAAAACACCGTAAAACAGAGGCATACAACCATGGAGGAGTCCTGCTCGAGGATTCTATCCGCTCTTTCGTAATTAGGCAACCTTGGAACACCTACCTTGAAGGGTGTGTAACAAGCAGACTGTGAGCCGCTCAAGGTTTGGAGGCGACAGCTCGCCATGGTTAGGACCAATCCCAAGTAGCCCATTTGCATTACCATGCTTGCAGCCTAATTGGATGAGCTCCACTGTAGCCTGCTGGTTCTGAGGGTGGAAGGAGGGTGGCGACCTGCTTGCATGTTGTGGCGCCGCTTGCGGGCGTTTGGGCTCCTTGGGTTGTGCATCAAGTCCGGGTGGAGAGCTCGGCAGCTGACAAGCAAAGCGTTTTCAACAGCTGATTGAGTTTGAGTGGGCAGGGCCCAACCAACGCCGCCCCGATGCCAAAGAGCAAAAGAAAAGCAGGGGTGTTCAGTGCTGCCTCTTTGGCCTTTCGGCCTATCAGGCTCTGACCATGAACAATGAAGAAGCACAAAGATCAGTGCACCCATGTAGTTCCCATGTGCGATTGAGAAAAGCAAGCGATCCCGTGTGTGTTTATTTGCTTTTGTCCCATATTCCCTTTTCATGCGTGTGTTATGTTACGTGAATTGCGTTTTTTGTCCCATTGAATCTGACAATGAGCAGAACCAGACCATCAGAGCCGGGCCTTTTTGGGTCTTACACATGGCCGGCCACTTCACGTTCTTCAAGAAGTAAAGTATGGAGGAGTACACCCGGGTGCTGGTGCTGGGTTGTCGGGGACCTCCCGAAGGCTTGGTTTTGCTGTTGTTTTCCCTCGAAAAGGGCATCCTCAAAAAAGACACACCCTCTCCGCTTTTCCACAGTTGCAGATGGGGAGTAGGTGCGGCGTTTCGTCAGGAGATCGGATCGCCCTCGGAACCGGCAGCGCTTGGCTCTCAGCGTGACCGAAGGAGACTGAAAGGACAGAAAGATGGAAGGTTCCTGGAATTACGCTGCTGCAGATGGGTGTGTGCGTGTGTGTGCGTGCGTGTGTGTTTTGAGGGTACCCTTTTCAGGGTTGGTTCGGCACAGCCCTGGGCCGCTTTTTACGGGGAGCGTTCCCATACTCTAAGAATTTTCTAAGAGCTCGACCATGTGCTTTTGAAGGAAAACGGTGCTCCATATATATATATATACACCTCATAAACAAAAAACAACATAACATAAACAGGTGCCCATGTACTCCAATACCCGTTATGTACCCATTGCGTACTGCAGATATTTATGTTTGCTGGCATGTGGGGCAGGCATTACATGTGGGCTTGTTGTTATGGGCGCCGTTTGCCCGCACGTGCTTGACCCCCACTGGCAAGACCGGCGAGAATCACGTGCTTCGACCAAACATGGCACCTGCTTCTGGGGCCCCTTGAGTGAAAGCAGTTTGCATGGCTCAATACTGCGGATGGACAAAATATTGCACCATTTGAGGATCGATGCCCCCTACGAATACTGGGATAAACCACCTACCAAGTGTTCGAAGTGGATTTTGTCCATACAGCATGGACCACAATACAATCATGTCATAGGGCAAGGGCTGAAGCCTTCAAAAACGATTTCCGCCCCATGGACGGCCACCTCCCAACCCCTGCGGGATCCTGCAAGTTGACCCCTAGAAATGCGGTCAATTGCCGAATCCGGTGGTGGATTTGGCCTTTGCAGCCTTCTTTTTTGGGATCCACTTGGTATGTTTGTCTCAAACTGGGATACGGGTTAGTTGAACCACGCCGAATAAGCAACCACACCTGTTGCGGAGGGATTTCTCACAGGTCGATGAGGAGGATTCGCCATCCAACCGGCACCCGACCGGCCGCCACTTGCATGTGGAAAATTTGGTTTTAGGCCCACTTCATATGATAATTACCAAGGGAATCTGCAATTCCTTCGGTTGTGACATGTCAACTGTTGATCCACTGCTGCCACCATGGCCCTAGACAGAGGGGCCCCTTTGTCCGCTCGAGCACCGAGCCACGGTTGCGACCGCGCCATCGGGCGCGTGAGACTTCGACCTCAGCGCAAAGGTGCGCTTCTGCAGCTGCGCGGCTTCCTGACCCCCGGTCATTGCATTGGCAGCGGAGCACGGTTACACGATCCGGGATTCTGACGACCACCCGCACCACGCCTTCGGCTTGACCTTAGCCTTTGAGAGTGGCAACCTGGAACCCTGACCTAAGGTGTAGACCTTCATCGGCTACCGACGTTGAGGACCACCTTGGTTACCTCCAGAGCCACGTCTGCGGCAACTCGGATTGCCTCATCTACTACAACCTCACAAGCTCACCGCCTTCGGCAACCTCTTGTACAACAACCCTTACGACTTCACTTGAACTCCTTCTACGGCAACTTTCACTACACCAACTCCTACCACCACGTAAGTTCCACCACGGCAATCTCCTGAACCTCATCCATTACCAGCTTGAGGACTTCGTCTACGGCAACTACCTGCCCGACCTCTACGGCATCTCCCCCTGTCCATCATCACGATGGCGGATAAGGAAGGACACATCCCTCAGTGGGATGGATCTGCACGAACCTGGAGACGCTACACCCGAGAAGTAGCATGGTGGGTGATGAGCGTGCCCGTGGACAAGCGGCGGTACTGCGCGACCAAATTGGTCGGTCCCTGCACGGCTCTTAGCCATGTCCTGGCCTCTCCAGCTGTTCGACTCCCCAGATGGCACGCGAGATCTTCTACGTCGCCTGGCCAGTTCATCCTTGGTCCGGCAGAGCCTCCCCAACACGGCGGCCATCTGTGCCCAGTACTTCAACTTCAAGCGGCTACCTCAAGAGAGCATGAGTGCCTTCCTGATCAGGGAGACACTTGGGTATGCGGAGTTCACTGAGGCTCTCGTACGCCTGTTTGAGGAGCGCAAGGGCATCAAGCAGGAGGACAAGGACTTTGGCATCCCTGGTAGTTCACCTGAACCTCCTCCACTTGATGAAGATCAAGACCTTGATGATGAAGACACCCCAGACGTGACTACCACACCGCCGAGGACGAGGGCATCAGAGACCTCTCAAGATGAAAGCTCACGTGATGCCGCTCCTGGTGCTTCTCCAGCTAGGTCCGCGAGATCCTTCGGCAAGGGCAAGGGCAAGGATACACCTCCAGCTCCACCAGCACTCGAAGTCACCCTGGAGGACATCATAGATGAGATGACCCTCGCCGACTCCTTCATCATGGGTGTTCTACGTGGATGGCGTCTTCTACAAGCAGCCAGCCTCACCAGCGAAGAAAAGCGCGACATCTTGAGCACCACGCAGAACTCCATGGACTACGATGCCATCAGCCGAGCGTTGCAAATGCTGTGGGATGACCAACTTCTTGGACATCGCCAACCTCATGCTGTACATCACCAACTGCACGTTCAGGAGCAGGAACTTGATCATCGACCTGATCCATGGCACGATCACTACGCCAGTGTTCAATGGTGGGATCAAGACTGGCAGCAGCAATGGGCTGCCGAGGAACAGTCCGATTGGGACTGGGATAACAACTCCGACCAGAAGGACCTCAATGCTGCGACCAACCCCGACCCGGTCGAGGAGGCCAAGATCAAAGAAGCACATCAAGCTGAACAACTGGCCGAGCAAATGGCTCAGGAAGCTAGTCGTACCTGGGCCGAGGCAAAGCGAGCTACTGCCGCACTTCACCGAGACCGAGGCTTCGGCAAGGGCAACTCCGGCAAGTGCTACAACTGCGGCGGCGCTCACTTCATCCGTCAGTGCCCTGATCTTCGGCATCCTCCACATCCCAAAGGTGCTTCTGGCAAGAAAGGCAACTCTCAGTTCATGGTGGATCCGTACTACGACGACTTCTACCAGCACAAGGGCTTCAAGAAGGGCAAGTCCAAGGGCAAGAATGCCTACTCGGTGGACTATGAGTACGATGCCATGTACTTCAAGGGCAAGTCAACACCCCATGGATCTGGCAAGGGCTACGGCACGCAGCCAGCACGCAGCTTCGTCAACTCCTATACGGCTGAGCTCTGCGGCCTGGACATGGAGATCCACAGCGGCGAATGCATGCCTGCCACCACTCCATCCACAAGTGGTGATTTTGAAGGTATGGTAGACTGTGGGGCTACGGCATCAGCCGGCCCAGAAGAGGCTGTCAAGGGCCTCGTTCAAGCCATTGTGGCACAGGACCACAGCGCCGTTGTTGAGATTGACCAGTCCGCTCGGCCGTACTTCCGCTATGGGAATGGGAAGTGGGGACAAGCCCTCTACCAGGTCACCCTTCGAAGTGATGTTTCAGGTTCGCCCAAACAGTTCAAGGTCTTTGCCCTGCCCAATCCACCAGAACTACATCAACCTGGATTCCATAGATCTATGCTGGTCCCCATTCTGGTTGGCATGGACCATTTGGGACCACATGGGGCTGGCATGATGATCGATTTTTCCACCGGCATGACCCTCAATGGCTTGGAATCTGATCCCCAACCATATCCTCTTCGCCACAACCACAAGGGTCACTACGTGTTGGACATCAGGAAGTACCTCACCAATGGTAACCACAATGGTAAGGGCCACCCCAAGGTTCGTGTGCATGGTGCCGGCCAACACAGTGTGCAAGATTGCAAGGTTCTGGAATTCCACCCGCCTCACATTCAGTTGGATTCGCCAGAACATGATTGCTTGCAAGTTGATCATGCCCCACCTGACTCACGAACCATTGCACTGATGATGCGACTTCGTAGCGCATCTGCTCAGATGTTAGCGACTCTCCATAACAGCACCAGCCCGACTTCTGGTATCGCCTCCGTGACCCATGGCTTACTCGACCCCGGTGCCACACGTGGACGAGCTCGAAGCCAAGAACCTCGTGTCGAAGATCAAGGAGTCGACCCCCCAGAAGAAGGGCGTGAAGGAATTCGACGAATCCCGCAGGGTGCCACACGACCCGAGGGATCCCCGAAGCCGTCCGGATCAGTGGCCATGCTTCAGCCGTCACAGTCCGGGCAGCTACGGCAGCAATGCCCACGGCAGATGGAACCACTGCCAAACGTGCAACCTGAGGTTGTCCTATGTTCCCAGAAAACCAGAAAAGGGAGCCCAGCCTCATCCATGCAGTCTCAGAATCCCGGCATGGTGATGAGGATGCTGAGTCAACTTCAGGAACTGATGGGCTCCGACACGCTGCCGACATCGGACATTTGCCTGGCCATGCAGGAGAAGATCAACGCCGAGGAGCGCCTCTACCACAAGATTCAGGACGCAAAGTCCGCTTCGAAGAAGGCAACGTCCTCGACGACAAGTTCCGGGACGAACTCCAAGCCCAAGAACCACCACGTGCCGACGGCGGAATCTCTCAAGAGCTGGGACAAGATGTCAATGTCCTCGGAGCCATCTCGCGAGACGGAGCACAAAGCAGCAACAGTCCTGTCGGACCTGGATCAGCACCTCACCGAGGAGGAGAAGCTCGAGCTCTACAACACCATCGCCTTGCGCAAGATCCAGCAGTCCGAGGCCAACCCCAACGCGGTGTCAATGGCGTGAAGAAGCTCCCCAACGCGGTTGGACTTCGACTTCTACAGCTAATGAGCCTCATGTCCACCAACCTCGTGAATATCACAGCCTCCATGGTCCTGGATGAGCGGGATCTTCTTTGGGAAGTGGCCTGCTCCGACAACTCATGGCTCACCTCGGAGGTACAACATCATGGACTACCACGCCGCATCAACTACAACGCAGGCTACGACATCTATGATCCGCAGACCTGGGTGCGCCTTCAAGACCTTCGTCGACGACATCGACCCAAACGCATCTGGTTCTCCTTTCCTTGCACGAAATGGTGCCAGTTCACCAACCTGAACTTCCACACCCCAGAACGTCGAGAGGTTCTTGAGACTGCTCGACGGCGTGAACGCAAGATGCTGAAGAACGCCAAGCAGTTCATCCTCCAGGCCCTCGACGAGGATCCAGACTTTGACATCTACTGGGAGTGGACACATCCATGCGCAGGTTGGGAGCAGCGACCAGTAGTCGAACTTCGTGAAGGACTCCGAGAACGCGGTCTTGATTGGCTACCTTGCAGGGTCGACGGCTGCCGCTACGGCATGACCAACCTGGCTGGCACCGACCTGCTGAAGAAACGGTGGATGATTCGGACCACCGATGAGCGCTTCCACAAGACCTTCCGCGCTCGAGTGTGCACCAACAACCACCAGCATGCTCGCATTGAAGGAGCAGAGACGAGCCGTTCGAGCTACTACCCCCTTCGGCTGGTACGAGCAATTGTCAATGGATGGATGTCTGAACTTGCTCCTCAACGCTACCTCAAGTGCATTGCGGCATGCCACGACATCGACGACCAAGAGCTCAAACTGGATGATGAGCTCTGGGACTTCAAGCACCACCAGCTCCACAGTATCACCTCCATAGACTCAAGTCGACCATCGCATGCATCCATTTCTACATCCCGAGACCTACTGGAAGCATCTCAACCTCTAGCTCTACTTCCTGGTCGTGAACGAGATGATCTCCTTGCTGGAGAACTACATGCTGATGGCCAACCTGATAGTGAAGCAATTCCGGCTGTACCTTCAGCCGCTCCACAAGAGGAACCACTGGTTGTACCACCTCAACCTGCACCACCAGCACCTGCAGTACAGCCTGATGGTCCGGAACAGCGAGCCTGGGCTGCCAAGCTGCATCACTTCCATAGGGCAGCTGGACACCCCCCGAACCGCAACCTCGTGCACCTACTTCGAGATGCCCGGCTACCTGATTGGAAAGTGCAGATGGCTCGCGACTACAAATGCGCCTCTTGTGACGCTCTACGACCTGGCGGATCATCCTCCGGCAGTATACCACCGGCATCCACACATCCACTTTACCGAGCATGGCAAGCCATAGGCATCGATGTGTCTGAGTGGGTGATACCCAACAGCAAGCTGAAACTCAAGTTCATGCTGATCATGGACCTGGCCACTCGCCTTCGAGCAGTGCACGTCATCAAGTGCTACGACGTCCTCAAGATGCTCAGCTGACGTCATCAAGGGTCTTGCTGAACGCTGGCTGGTTGACAAACCACGGCCTGAGATCGTCATCCCCGACAACGGCATCACGCTGGTCTCCTGAGACGTCAGCGACTTCCTGTCCGACATTGCAGTTCAACTTGCACCACCTGCGGAGAAAGAAAGCTGAGCTCATGGACAAGTTGAATCCGCCATGAAAGATGTCAAGATGACGGCCTCAGCCATCCAGCTTGGATCTCCCTCGCAGGAGACCCCATCATCTCGCGCCACCTGGCCATAGCCGCTCTCAACTCCACGGAGTATGTCAAGGGCTACTCCTCCTTCCAGTGGTGCTATGGCAAGGCTACTCCATCACGGATGAAGATGTGAGGACCTTCGCATCACTTCCAGAATCACCTGGTGATGACTATGCTCGCCTGGTCCAACTACGACAAGATGCTGAACAAGTAGCCCGGAAGACCCGAGCTCTTCGCGTCCTCTCCAAGCTCAGCAACCCCACTGTGCGACAGCCCATCAGGACCTTCCATCCTATGCAACTGGTAATGGTCTGGCGCAAGCAGTGGCCTGCACACGTCTACGTGGGCAAGAGGGGCGGCGCTCGCAAATCAGGGCGTCCACACTGGATAGGTCCCGGCCGAGTGGTGTTTCACGAGATCCTGCCTCATCAGCAACCAAGTGATGAGCGTCGACACATTATATGGGTCCTACTGCAGAACCAGCTGATGCGCTGTTCTGTTCACTCGGTAAGGCCTACGACCCCCCTGGAAGAGACGCAGTTCGAGATCAGTGCCAAGGAGGACATCTCCCGCTGGCGCTCACTGGCAGACATGCTGCCCAACAAGGAGTTCATCGACATAGTCGAGGATGAACCAGGACCTGATGAACGTGAACAACCAGATCTCCCAGATCTACCATCGGAGGAGACCATCCATGTGCCCAGACGTCGCCTCCGAGAAAAGTCGACACCACTTCAAGGTTCTCGACGCCCTGCTCACTGCTCATGTACCAGCAATGGCAGACGACCCCGACTACGAGCCGGAGTCACCTGACTTTCCAATGGATCCGGCGACACCTTCGATGTCAACTGGACCTCAAGCACTACCATCCGAGCCTCAAGCACTACCACCTGAGCTGGACGGCACAACGACTCCAAGTGCTGATCCTGCAGCTGACAGCGTCCACAGCTATGAGCCGGACAGCAAGAAGCAGCGCGTTGAAGGCTACGACCTTGGCTGGGTCGAACAACTACATCAAGGAGAAGGTGATCTTCATCAACTTCTTCTTGAATCCAAGGAGGTCATGAAGATCGAGTTCGACATCGGCCTGAACTCCCACCGCAAGCAGAAGGACTTCTGCCGAGACGCTTCCGCGTTCATGGTCAAGAAGATGAGGGACAGCGAAGTCGTGCTGTCCAGGCTGACCCCTGAACATCGAGAACTCTTCAGCAGGGCCAAGTCCAAGGAAGTCAGCAGCTTCATCAAGTCAGAAGCTGTCCGCAAGGCCCTGAACGACAAGGAGGTATGCGATGCCTTCGATTCCGGCCGCATCATGCGTGCCAGATGGGTTCTCACCTGGAAGCCAACACCTCCCGAAGATCTGCAAGAAGCTCAAGCGGAGGCGGTCGCCAACGGCAAGACCACCTACACCAAAGATGGCCAGAAGAAAGCCAAGGCACGCATAGTGCTTCTGGGCTATGAGCACCCCGACTTGCTCAGGCCTGAGTTCAAGACAGCCAGCCCTGTGCAATCAAGCTTGGGAAGGAACACCATGGCTTGCACACATGGCTGGGAGCTTGAGGGCCTTGACCTGGCTACAGCATTCTTGCAGACTCAGCCAACAGAGGCTGATCAGAACCTTTGGACACGCGGTGTGTCCGAGTTGCGCGAAACCTTGGACATCCCGTCCGACGGCATCATGAAGATCCTCAAGAACATCTATGGTTCAACCACAGCACCAAGGGGACTATGGTTGGATCTTCACCGACGCCTCGCTTCCATCGGCGGCAAGCCACTCATTGGTGAGCGATGCATCTGGATCTGGCACTCTGCCATCGAGAAGGACGAGTACGGCATCCCCCTTCATGGGCGGCCACGTGGATGACTTTCATCGTTGTGGCAACCGCCTTTCACATGAGTGGAACCAGATCCGCGACCAGATCGACAAGCTCTATGAGTGGGGCACTGCAAAGCGCGGCAGCTACAGGCACGCCGGCACCGACTTGACCTCCATCACCAACAAGGACGGCTCCGTCGAGGTCAAGATCAATCAGCAGTACTACATCGACTCCATCACCGATGTGGACATTGATCCTGATCACCTTCGTCAAGAAAATGCGGTCATGGACAATGAGGAAGTAGAGGCATGCAGAGCCACATGGGGCAGTCTGCAGTGGTTGGCTTTGCAGACCCAGCCACAACTCTGCGCTAGGTGCAACCTCCTCGCCTCTGAGATCACGACCAAACGCCTCATGCAGTCAGCCTTGGAACTTCAGCAGCTGGTTGGTGAGATTCGTAAGCACTCCTACCAGCTGCACTATAAGAAGCCACCTGGAGTCAACACCTGGCGAGACATGGTGTTTGTGACCTTCTGCGACCAAGCTCATGCAAATCGCAGCAAGATGGACTCCACCGGCGGCCTGATCTCAGTAGCGACTGGTCCCCCCGCCAACGAGGGCAAGGTCACCTACATGGCACCCCTGGCATGGCGAAGCTGGAAGCTGCGCCGCAAGGCCATATCGTCAAATGACGCCGAAGTCCAAGCCATCCTTGACGGCGAGGACCAGAACTTCGCATCCGCGTTCTCTGGTGTGAGATGAACGGCGCTGGCCACGACCTCACCCCGCACGAGGACAGGGTGGAATGGGCCGAACGCATGGCGCGTGGCATCAAAGGCATCTTGGCCACGGACAGCAAAGGTGGCTACGATGCGGTGATCTACAATGAATCACCGATGCTTGGCTTGAGCAATGCAAGGGCAGCGCTACAAACTTTGCAGCTCCGGGAGCACCTCACCCGGACAGGAGCTGAACTTCGTTGGGTTGCCAGCGACTAC